AATGGTACGTTTCTGTCAGCCGATAATGTCTGATTTGTATAAGTAAAGTCATGAGAGAAATTTCATTCTGAGTGGAATGTAGTTGTAATTTATGAGAAATTGTGGTAAAAATGTTGGCAGTTTTGATACCTTTCATAGGTGGTAAAATACTGTAGCAAGGATCATATAGATAAATAGTCTGGCAGTAGCACTTACAAGGACTCCCCTAGACTCCTGTGTTCTAAGGGAGTGCCTTGCCATTTGTCTTAGGAAGAGACAGAGGAAAGGAAACCCTGCCATTGTTAGGTGGTTGTCTCTTAATATGAACAGAAAGGGATGTGGAAGTGTTTAATTAAGCTTCCCGTAGATGGACCATGTGAACTTGCAGGTTGTTTGTGTGTGTTTCAGATTCTTGGACAAATGTATGCTTCATTTATTTATTGGGCTAGGTTTGGTATTATGCAGTTTTAATAATTTGAAAACAATTAATTAATTACTGTGATTGAGACATAGTTATTGTAAGCTTCTGTTTTCATATTGCTCATTGTAGTTATAATTGCATATCCAGAACTATCATAATAGTTGCAAGTATATTTTGTTCTTTCAGATGTATTTGAAAGTAGTTAATATATGCTGTAGTATAGTAGAGATTTATTGTATACAACAACAGCAAGAAAAGGTACGAATACAATCAAAATGACCAATATAGACGTTAATGAAATATTACGGAGTTTAAAATTGAACAGAATAACTGAAAGAATATTTGGAACAAAAGCTATGTATTGGATATTAAGATCTGTATAGATTTTCCATTCAATTATAAATTGAAATGAAAAAAAAATGCTATTACTTTGATTGTGGCAATTTTAAAGGTAAACCAATGCATTGCATAGACTTTAAGACTTGAGAAATCAAAAATGCCCCAAGTGTTACAGTAGTTTTCATGCATTATATTGTGAAATATTTATATGGTGTAATTCAGTAGCCTCTGCCATAATGCCATTTCTTTTTTGCCAGCTCTGTGTTTCTATTCGGCAATTTTTATGAGGTTTGCCATCAAAGTGCAGCCAAGAAATTTGTTGCTCTTCAGTTGCCACTTCACAAATGAAACTGCTCAAATTATACAGGTGAGAAAACCCTTTAATTTTTGTACGATTTCATAGGAAAGGGTAAGTGATGTACTGTGAAATCACGCATAAAAGAATAGAAGATTTGTCATGAGTATTTCTTTGTTGTTGGTGTAAGTCCAGGTTTCAAGTCAATGAAAGTCACTACATTTTTCTTTTCATTGTTTTTATTTCCAATGTACCTGTTTAGGTTTTTTATTAATTTTCTGTCTTTATTTTAAAAGTGCTGACAGCAGGAATGCATTTATACCCATCCACCATGGGTCTGTTTTATTAATTTTGTCTACAGATAGATGGCATCAGAAGTACTTAGTCACAAAGGGAGTCCATTGACCTCACATATTTATGCCATTTCTGGATTTTTTATTACTCTTAATATTGTTAATGTTATTACAGTCTTGGAATTTTCTGGGTTGCAAAATAAGCTTTAAGCTTTCTTTACAGTAATGTATGTTTACACCTCCCTGCTCCTCACCTGATAAGGCTTGGTACATGTACTGTCCTCTGCCTTTTCTTCTTCTTCTTCTTCCTCTTCCTCTTCCTCCTCCTCCTCCTCCTCCTGCTCCTGCTCCTGCTCCTCTTCCTCCTCCTCCTCCCCCCCCCCCTCTCCTCTACACAGATGGTCCACAAGCACTTCACTTGTCAAATTGTCAACTATAGTGTGCTCAATCTGGATATATTATATAAGAGGCTATAACTTGAAGTCTCGCTAAGTTGCTAACATCTGATAATATTTACTGCACAATAAAATAGGCTTTAATGCCTCCAAAGCTGCAGTTATTTTTGTAATAAAATATTCTCTCTCTTATTTTTTTACAACCATGAAATCAGTTCAAGAATAATCAGTACAACATCTAAAGTGAAGAGTCATTCCAAATTAAAGCAGAAATAATAGAGACAATGTAGTTTTCTTAATGAAAGAACTTCCCTCTCCACCCTCTGGTCGAGATGAGAGCTGACTGACCACATGACCAGTGTTGGAGATTGTATAACCTTGTTTCCACAGAAACAAAGAATTTAAACTTTATATGCTGGTATTATTGCAATAAATGGTGCATGAGGAAAGTAATTATGAATTGTTGACAATGTAATCCTAAAGTTTAACCCAATGGTGACGGTTGAAGAAAACTAAAAAAAAACTCTACGCTCTGGTGATCAATGGCAGCGTGCCGACTTTGAGTGTGGGAGTTCAGTACATCAAGCCAAATCACTGGCTCGCTGCATTTTATTGATCAAATTTAGAAACATTGAAACATTGGTATATGAGAAACATAAATACAAACAGCTAATTAGAAGAGATACTATTACTCAAATTCACTGTTGGGTATTATTGTAAATTATCGTTTCTGATACAGCCCTCTCAACTATATGATAACACTGGGAGGCCTGCTACATATCTGGATTGAAGGGACTATACTACTAGGTCTATCTCATTCCTTGAAGTTTTAGGGAAAAAAGTTATTTCTAGTACTGTTTTTATCATTTTCAATGTCAGTATAAACATTATTGATATGAAGTTACCAACAAGAATAATATTAACAGTAGTGAAAGCATAAATTCCAGGAGTGGTGTAAATAGTTCTAGTCAGAAAGGCTTAAAGTGTTTGCGGAACCATCTATGTAAACTAAAAACAATTCTGATAGAACAAAACCATAGTGGACAGTGCCCACATAGGTGTATCCCTAGCATCAGTTTGTTGAAAAGATAATAGGAAAAAGAGGTTGCAATCTATCCAAACTTTACTTTAGAATCATCTTCCTTTCTTTGCCCCCCCAAAAAGAAGACATGTTTATCAGAACTATCTATCTCACCTATTTACCCTTTTCCTTCACTTTAGGAAAGGGTCTTTCATATCATTTCATTGTCTAAAATATTTTAATGGCAATTTAATCATAACATCATAACATCGATAGCAATGGTATTAATAAGAAAAAGACATTTCCCTACCAGTTCAAGGAATGGGGAAATTTAGGATCGGTAACTAGGGCCTACTGATAGACTCCTTGCCGGCTGAGCACATGTGGAGCCATCTGTATGTAACAAAATTCACCAAAAATTACAGGGGACAGAACATAGATCTGGGGCGAAGGGGTTAATTGCAGCACTGTTTCTGCTAATAAGTAGCTAACCAAGTATTGTTTCTATATTTCTAGGGTTGTCGTTTGATAAATTACGAGTACTTTGGAGGCAAGGAAGCCAAGAAGGCAGAAGAAGAAGCATCTGCTGCTGCTGTTAGTGCCTAACTAATTTACTTTTTTTTTTTGCTAAGGGAATCTGGCATCATGTATTTTCTCCCTTTGCTTTCAACTAAATTTTGGGTGTAAATTATTATTGATATGTCAAGGTTCATCCTTGTGTAAATAAAATGGATCTTTACCTGATGAACTGTTGAAATACTATTTTATCCAACACAAGTACCCAGACAAAAATTCTTCGGTCTGTCAGTTATCAGTTCTTCCTGTAATTATTGTTATAATAATTCACAAACTGCAATAACCAATGTGGTGGAAAAAATATTATGTCAAAGTTTGTCATGTGAAATTGTATCCTGGCTTGGAATTTTAAAGCCTGTGTAGAAAAAAATGTCAGTGAATACTGGAACTATACATGAGAATAATGATAATGTAATATGCATGTATATATACACATATAAAAAGGTTTATCCAGTGGTGGTTTTGATGTAAGAATATCAGACAGTTCAAGGTTAATTAAAGCAACTTAATAGAGGTACACATGTACACATACTGGAGATAATATATTAACAAATAAAATACTAAATGGGAGTTACTAAATCCGTTTGTAATTAAATGAAAACAAAGGTTGTCCTATAGTACACTTTTAGTAAATGCACAGAGAAGAAATGTAAGTAAATCACAGAAGATATAAATGTGATGTATATGTACTGATAATATGTAACACTTGTTGTAATACATTAATTCCTGATAGTCTTCTAGGGTTTTAGTTTTCTTATACTAATACCTCATAAGTTTAAAACTAAAATAGTCATGGTGCAATGTATACAGGCTGTGCTATCTTTGTGCAGCTAGTGCTTAACAATATCTCACTGTTGTATTGTACTATAATATAAATGGATTAATATTGTTGATGAACACTGCAGTAACAGTGTTCACAGTGATGTCACTCCAGCCATAACTATTTTAGCTGTACAGACTTTTACCAAATCATTTGGTGTTTAGATTAAGTGCCCGTTGTGCTCAAAAGAGTGAAAAGAAGACAGCTTTCACTGTGTCACAGAAAGCGCCTCCCCATCAGACTACCTAATCATATTTGTACATGATGGTTTCCAGTGCTCTGTACATATCTGAATATCTATTTGAGTGCTAGTAGTGTTGCATATGAATTGAAAGGATTCTTTTTGATTGAAAATTGTGTATAGGACTTGAATTTTATGTAAACATGTCTCACACTAATGATTTATCCTTAGTGAAGGATACACTTTTTTTATTTTTGTGATTTTTAATAGTATGCATATTTTGTGCATCTTCAATGCATTGAAATATTGATTATGAATTTGGAATTCAATCTTATTTACATGCAGAACAGGTATCTATAGATAATGTCTTTCAAGAATATCCGTGTTGTTGGGTATTACAGTTGTTATTGTACATGTTGAAATAAAACTTAGATTTTGTATTTTGTTTCCTCTGGTTCCTAAACAAAATGGAAAATAAACTATTTTTAGATAGTTTGATATTTGAAACTTTTCAGTTTGACTTTTTCACAGTTAACCATTCCAGCCATTCACTCAGTTATTAAAAATGCTGCTTCAGAATTTGACACACTTTCCATACTTTGAAGTAAATCAGAACTTTAAGTACTCCAGAAATACAAGACTTGCAAGCAGACAATTCCAATCCAAATTTTACTATATATGCTGATAGAAAAGGGAGAATTTCTTTACAGGTAAACTATTGTAACTGTAAAGGAAGTAATGGATGACAAAAATTATCCAGTGTGTAAGTTTTGCAATTAAAAAACGAAAAGGAAGAAAAAAAATTATATATTCACTTTTCCATTCTTATTTATGTGTGTAAGAGAGGAAGGATGGCTCTGACTAGTACTGCTTTAAAGTTTGGTAGCACAAAGCAGGTGTACTGACAAAGATGCACTCCACACTCAGAGCTTGTAGTCCAGGTCCTCCTCCTCACACCTTAGTCATTAATACTCTGCATGTAATGGTCTTTCTGTTTTCGTCTTTTGATCTGATGAGCTACCCTGGCAATGGCACTTTGGTGTCATGTAAGAGTAATGGACCTGCCACTATTACTAACCCTCATTAGTGGAAGTGTACATCTTCAAGAGCTCTTGTGCCAAGTCTGCCTGGACAGCCATTTAAGTCATCACATCTCAGAGTACAGTGATAGGATGGTAGCTTCTGTATAAACATGTCCATGAGTTTGTTGATGACAAAGTGGGAGAGGATGGCTAAAGGTGGGTTAAAGATTGGTAAAGGAGTTGATGAGTGAATGGATTAAGGTAGGGTTAGGTAAGGGGGATTAGATTAGAGGAAAAAGAACAGATTGTCAAAACAGAAAGTGTGGGAAGAGGCAAAGATGGTTAAATCATCAACATATAGTGATGACCAGGCCCCTGGTGGTAGAATTGATACAAGAAGAGATAAGAAGGTGCTGAGTATACTGCCTTGCAGGACCCTTTGAACTAAGGAAAGGATGATGATGCAGAAGAGACAATTTTAACCTAGAAAGTGAGTTTCGAGAGGAAAGACTTTATAAAAGACACCCATAATTGCTGGAGAATATGGTACAGCCTTTTGGTATCATATGCTTTTTCTAAGTCAAAGAATATGGCTAATACTGAGTCATGACATGCAAATGCAGATATGATATATGTCTCGAAATGAGAAGATTGTGAGATTCAAGATACTACATTAAGCGGAAGTTAACCATTCGCTCTAGTAGTTTGCACAAGCAGCTAGTTAGAGCGATGGGGTGGTAATCTTGAGGGAGGGGATTTATTGGGTTTCAAGTAGGGGAGGATAAGAGTTTCTTGCCAATGAGAAGGAAAATTTCCTGTCATTCATATATGGTTCAAAATAGCTGATAGGAAGGATAGAGAGGAAGATGGAAGGTGTCAGAGCATGCAGTAGTGAATATTGGGTGTTGCAACACAACTGTAAGGGGGGAGATGGAGTAGTATCAGAAGGTGGAGGATCTGGGGAAGGGAATGGTTGTGACATAAGGGATTCATGTGTGTATTCAGGAGGGAGTGGAAGGAACAGTGGGGATGGAGGGAGGGTTAAGGTAGGTGGAGCTGAAGCTGTGGGGATGGGGTGTGTTGGGAGGGAGTAGGGGGAAGGGGTGTAGGGGAAATATGAGTAAAAGGATGGATGTCGGTAGTCACTCTGAATGTAGAAGGAGCGGGAGTCGTGGAATTAGAGGGTGGATGAGGGATTTTGATGTCAATTTGGGACTCAAACAGATAGTTTTGAATATCTTCAAGTTTCTGTAATGGAGATGGTTAGGGAGTGTTGAAAGACAAAAGTTTTTTTTTTATGAGGGGAGGAAGAGGAGAAGTGGTGGATCATTTAGTCTGTCTGCTGAAGTTAGTGTGGAGAGGGAGAGAGGGAGGTGTTGGGGCTGCAGTAGAGAGTGGAGTATCTGGATTTAGGATGGCAAAAGAATTTAACTGGGGGGAAATAGGAGCTAGAGGTGGGGAAATAAGATGGAGGAGGGATAGGTATAGGAGAGGGTGTAGGAACATCTTGGGAGGGAAAGGGTGGGGCAGACCAAGCGACATTACTGGAATAGGGAGTGAGAGAAAAACCTTGTCAACGTGTCTGGCTTCACACAGAGTGAGACTAAGTCTGCATCTGAAAGTTGCCACCTCAGACTCAAACTTGTAGGTGGGGCAGCCCCTATAACGTACATTATGAGGGCCACCACAGTTGGCACAAGTGCGTGATTGTGCAGAGCAATTTGCTCAGTTATGGCCAGGTTGGGCACATAGAGGATATCAGGCTGTGGAACAGCAGTGTTTGGCAGGATGTCCCAAACGCAAACAGTTTTGATACTGACGAGGATGATATGGTTGGACAGGGATGGATTTTCCACCAATGTAAACATTAAAGAGGAGGTCATGCCTATGGAAAGTAATTTTGGCAATGTTGGTGGGGTTCTTATGATGGCCTCTAGGAGGAATGGAGTAGCACTGCACTGATATTACATCATAGTCAGTGAGGCAGGCGAGTAATTCTCCACAATCTGCCCATTTTTGTTATATATAAGGCAGTTTGTTGGGGAGATGGAGACAGTTGCGGTACAAGAATTGAGGATTGGACAAGGTTCTGTGGGAATGGGGTTACCAGAGATATCAATTAGGGTTGAGAATGCTATAACTTGGGTTTCAGACAAGA